TGCGTTATTCATTACACGTGTGTTCATTGTATTCAAAACTAATTCCACTTTCATGTAACACGGCAGATACAAACGCCAGGAGACGAGGCCTCGTTACAGCATCGGGCTGGAGCAGGATGAGACCTACATTCCCCCTGGAGAGTCCCTGAAGGATTTGATCGAGCAGTCCCAGAGCTCGGGGAGCGGCTCCGGGCTCCCTCTCCTGGTAAGGAAGCAATATTATTTTCATGCGAGTTTAAAAGGCAAAAATGCATAAAGAGAGAAGGCAAAGTGAGGCACAAGAAATTATATGCATGTATCCTCAGTTGTTGTTTTAAGGTGTTTTTTCTCTCCCAGAAATGGCAAGGATTTAAGCTGGAGAACAGCTGCTTTAGAAGCAGGAGACTTTTCTTCATGTGGACTAAGCCAAAAAAGCTTAGTGTTTTTTTCACCTCAGCTCATCTCTTATTTTAGATAACATAGGGTAAGTACACGCTAACAGAGCTCACAGAAATTCATCAGGATTTACCCCAGTGTACAGGACAGCATCTGGCCCACTGATGTTATTTTCTTGCTTTTTATTTGCAATGCACAACAGCATTTCAGACACTGACACGTTGTCTTTATGTAAAGGGAACTGTAATTTATCAAACTTGGACTCTTCTTATGCGTAGGCTTCACTTTGCGTTCAGAAGTCAAGAGCTAATTGTTTTTCCTTGTAGTGTGGCAATCTCAAAGGTCCAAGGCACAGGGACGGAGTTTGTGATTATTTCTGAACCAACTCCAGGATGACCAGACCCCCTGAGCTCACCTGGCTGAAAAGGCAGAAGGTTTGCCTTCTGTGGCAAAGCAGTTCTGTTCACCACAGGTTTTTGTTGCTGGGGCTCATCATTGCTTTTTAGCACTGAAAAAAAAGCCAGGTTACTTAGTTAAAATACTGCCTCTGAGAAAATGAATTAGATTTCATTTTCATTTTTCAGAGATATGTCCCTCCTGCCTCCTAAACCTATTAGTTTGTAGTGATCCTATTACTGTAGACATTGTCCAGTTTCCAAGTACTATATACTATCTATCTGGTTTTTGCCCACACGTCTTTTTTCTGTACCCTGAAGAAGAAATAAAATGGGAAGTTTTATCATTCCTTAAAATGAAGCAACACGCTGAGTGGCAAAAAGCTGACTAAACTCAGTTTGTTCTAGCAGGAGTAAGTGCTTAGAGTCCCATTTAAATAAAGTGCTGATTTTTGTAAAACTCCAATTTTTTGACAATTAACATAGCTATTGAGGAAAAAAAAAAAACCAAGCTCCCAAGTGGGTCTGTGACTGGTGCTGAGCATGGAAAACCCACGGTCATTTTTCTCTTTTGAGAGAAACTCCATCATTTAGGTCTAGGCTTTAAGAAAGCTCTCTCACATCCCATAACAATGTCCCTCTAGCAGCCATGGAAAGGGAGGGATCATGCTTACGATTTAGGACCATTCCTAATGAGTGCTTCCAATTGATTTAATTGTGAGATGTTCTTGCTTTTTTTGCTTTGTTTTTTTGCATAACACCTGCCACATCAAGGTCTGCATCTTGGTGCTACTACCTTTACAGTGATAGAAATAATATATTAACTTAGAGCAAAGGCAACGACCTTGGTTTTTCTCCTCTGGGAGGATGTGTTTCCATCAGCCCACGTGGGTAGCAGGTGCCCTGGGGCATCCCATAGCAGTGGATGGCTGGATGGTTCATCCCGGGATGCCCTTGAGACAAAAAAGCTGGCGTAATGCTGGTTGTGACCGCTTGTGCATTATGCCTTCCTCTGTCCCAGTGCGCGGGTTGAAGATGGGATCTACAGTCTTACTGATGTCCCCAGGTCTACTCTTTCAGTGGGCAGAAAAACTAACTTCTGCTGATTAACTGCTGTAATGGCCGAGGTGGCATCCCAACTGGGTCATTGCTCAGCAGCTCTCAGAGCTGTGCTGGTTCTCCGTGAAGCAGAAACCACCCTGCCTTCTGCCAGTCCTCCTCTCTCAAGCCTGGAGACTTTGCAGCCACTGGAACAAGTGTTCTTCCTGAAGGCACTCTTCATTCACCCCCCTCTCTTTGCCTACAAAAATGCATACTTTTTTTTCCCAGACTTTCCCCTTAAGTAGTGATTTTCTGTGGAAGAGAAGAAAAACGAGAGCTGTAATGAATCTTGCACTTGGTGATAGATATTTGCTGCATTTCCCAGACAGCTACAACTGCTACAGGCTCACTAGAAATGCACAGATTAATACCTCTGGGCCCATGCCTGAAATAAGTATATAGAAAGTGCCTGGCAATAATGCTCTAGACTTTATCGTGGCAGAGTTTGTTTTTAACTGTATTATTAGTTATGCAAAGACTGAAACATCCAAAGTTATCATTTCAGGAAGGTAAGCCACAAATTTCTTACAAAATGTCACTTTATGCTAAACAGTAATATTTTCCTTCTGTGCAGAACATTTATTCTAATAGGTACAAATATTATATCAAAACCAAGCATTAACCAAGATTTTATCAATACTTTGACATTCAGCAAGCGTTCTTTCTCCTGACCAGTTCATACCTCTGACATAAAAGTTTGCTGCAGGTCAAATGCTGCCAATCAAATTTTAAACTGAGAAAAAAATACAGTAAGTATTAAATAGAGGCGTTGAGCTAACAAACTGGGGTGCACAATCAAGTCTGTGCAAGCAGGGAGAACCCCATTGGCCTTGATAGAGCAAGAAGTGTAGGCAAAACTGTTGCCTCCGTCAATCCATGTGCAAAATCAGGGAAGGAGATCAGGTGCTGGGGACATTTATTTCAGTGATTTGTATGAAGAGTTTGCTGAATTACAGTTTGATCTCTACCCTTTCACATAGATTTTTTCCTAATTCCTCTTTGAATGAACTTTACTTTTCGAGGGACTGCATCCCAGCCATAGGTATGAAGTTCTCTGTTCAAAATATTGAAGTTACAAAAGGTTGGTTTGTCTGAATTTTCCTCTGAAGTAGCTGAATACATTTAGCTGAACATCTGAAAAACAGAATGCAGAAAGTAGAAATAGTTGGTAATTGCATTGATTCCAGACAGGGAGAGGAAACAAAGGGCCGTGCAAACTTATCTGGCTTCTCATAGAGCTCAAGCAGCAAAATACAAAGATTTGAGAAGAAATTTAAAAAACCCAACCCTACTCAGTGTAAATAGTTCACATGAACGCATCACTCAGCACGCTTATGAAATCAGTTCATCCAACAATTTTGATTAACCAATTTGTTTTAGAAATCGTAATCAGTTTATGATTCAAGAAAGGGCTAAATTCCTTAAAATAAAATAAATTGTTCATAGGAAATCATTTGACCAGTTCTGGCAAGAGGAAACCAGGTTAAGGCCCTTCACATAGTATTCTGCCGCCTGAAAACCCATAACAGAAATGTGTTTTTCATTTTCTTAATGTAATTTAATAAGGAACTTTTCATCATTAAGTATTGTAATTCCATGTACTTTATGATGCCATTACATATATTTACACAAATTAAGTTATTTGATATAACTGCATTATTGTTCAGGATGCATTTTTAAAATGGGCAAAATAGAAAGCAACAATGCTACAATGACATTACAAAATGTTACAGCAAAATTCCAATGTAATATAACTATTGTTCAATCACTATATGAGAGTATAAAGGAGAATAAATCAATTTTAAAAATCCAGGCTAATCTCTGTTCTTGGCTTTCACTGATGTTAATCAAAAATAATGGCACTGAAGCCACCATCTTGGTGCTGCTACCTTTACAGTCTAATAATACATTGCAGGGCTGAAAAAATGGAATTTTTTTAAAATGATAGAAGAAGAAAGCTGGATCTTTTGAAATAGCCTTGCATAAATGCCATTGCATGTTTTTAATCTTTAAATTGTCTAATATGAAACCCAGTAATTTATTTACAAAATAAATGATAATAGACCTTACCTAATAGGTTTTGAGTTTTCTTTGGACATATATTCATGCTGCAGTGGGCTTGTGGCAGTCCTGCTGTGCGTTACCAGGCTGGTAGTTTCCACTGGACCTCCCGGGGATAACAAAGGAGGCAAATGATTTTAAAATCAAGTTTTGATCATTTCTGTCAGCCAAGATTGCAAAAATATTTGGTATTACATGAAATGCATGTGATCTCATAGAGATTCAGATAGTGCACACTTGCTGCAATAAACTGCTTTAAATTTGTACGTGGATGGTGGCAAAACGGAGAGACCTTGAATTTACGCTTGTCCAGATTTTGCCAATTGCTTGGGCCAGATGAAAAACTCCTTGCCTTGGAGGCTATAAAGCTATTTTCTTTGAAAATCTTGTAAAAAAACCCCTGTGAAACCAAAAATCATTAGCTGTGGATCGAACTGGCAGTACTGAAGCACAGGAAGGTGACATTTTGATCTCCCATTATACTAGAGTGAGGCCGAGTCAACCATGAACACCAGTGGGTTGTGTTGCAGCATCTGCTTGAGTTTTTATTTGTGAACTTTTAGAAATATGTGATCCGTGGACATGCTCCAGTCCTATGAAAATATATCAGTCTCTATTTGTCCAAGACTTTTCATAAACATAAAAGCTTGTTAAGCATAGAGTGAGTCCATCTGCTACGTGAGGTCTGCCATCCTCATGAAGGGTGTCTCTGCAGTGCTGCCGAGCACATTGATCTTATGCTACAGCTGCACAAATGGTTTGACTTTAGCATCAGTTCACAGTGCAGCAACTGGCACAGCTGGTACGGACACTAGAAAGGGCAGATTTAAAGCTGTGTTTCCGTATCTTTAGAAAAAAAATTAATACTGTGTGATGATGATTATTGAAATTAATGTAGGCACGTAGGTTCTAGCTGTGTAAGTAGTGATGGAGGTTCCTAACACCAAATCTATGTTTTAAAATTATTAGGCATGGGTTTTTCAAGGAAGTTGAATAGGAAGTTGATAGGAAGCTGCTGTCAGTAATTTTGCTAGTTTTGGAGTGCTGAGGTGCTTTTGGCTCTTGTGAGCCCTAGCCTTGAGTCTCAAAGGTGTTGAACATGTAACAAACATGTCTGTTTTAATTAAAAATGTATTATCTGCCCCTTTGGACTTTGGGTTGGGTTGGGGTGGCCAGGAGTGTTTTCTGTCAAAGCTTTTCCAAAAATGACAAAAAAAATTGCACAGAGTGGCAAATTCCCGCAGGAAAATAAAAATTTCAGGGTTAGTAGTAAACCGTTTCCTTTATACAGACCGATTTACTTTCTTGAGAGGCCATGGTGTGTTTTGGGAATGTACGGAAAGACTTCTTCACAGGGGCAGGATTGGCCTCACCAGCACTGCGTCCTGGGGGAAACACGGAGCATTGGAGTTGCGGAGCTTTCCCGAAATCCACATCACAAAGGCTGCATATTCCCCTTTCCACTGGACTGGCTGCAGGGGAGGGAGACACAGAAGGAGGGAGGGGAATGCAGGTTTCTGCTGAGCGAGTGATAACCGCCCCTCTTGGCATTTCACAGGTTCAAAGGACCATCGCAAAACAGATTCAGATGGTAAAGCAGATTGGAAAAGGTCGCTATGGAGAAGTCTGGATGGGAAAGTGGCGTGGTGAAAAGGTAGCCGTGAAAGTGTTTTTTACCACGGAGGAAGCCAGCTGGTTCAGAGAAACAGAAATCTACCAGACTGTCCTGATGAGGCATGAAAATATTCTCGGTGAGTGAAATTAAAGAGGATTATTTGATAGGGTACAGGTTTCTTAAGTTTAAGAATTTTGCATTTGCTGTTGTCTGATGCCCTTTCCGATGTGCTTTGGTACCTGCTGTGCTCTCAATTAGCCACCCAGCACTTCTCAAAAGAAAAGTGTTTCAAGGAGATTACCGAAACATAAATAAAAGTTTTAAAATAACGAGGTTTGAGGGCTATTACTCCCTGTAATAGTCTGTTTCTGCCATCTGTATCTCGATATCTGGGCTTTCTGAAAATATCTTAAAGGCGAGAGGTGACGCACAGTTGCATGTAAGATGAAAGTAAGTAAGATGAAATAAATGAAATATGTTATTAAAATAAAACTTTTGAAGTGACTGAGGGTCCAGAGTTCTGACCAGTCAAAAAAAGCTCCGAGAAGTATTAATTTGAAAATCACTTTTTTTGCAGGGTTCATTGCCGCGGACATTAAAGGTACAGGATCTTGGACCCAGCTGTATCTCATCACCGACTATCACGAGAATGGCTCGCTTTATGATTATCTAAAATCTACTACTTTGGACACAAAAGCCATGCTAAAACTGGCTTACTCCTCCGTTAGTGGCTTGTGCCACCTGCACACTGAGATCTTCAGTACTCAGGGCAAACCCGCTATTGCCCACCGAGACCTAAAAAGTAAGAATATCCTGGTGAAAAAGAACGGCACCTGCTGTATAGCAGATTTGGGCTTGGCTGTTAAATTTATCAGGTGAGTAGAAGTGAGGAGAGCAAGGAAAAGTTGGTAAATCAGATGCAAACTCTAGTTTAGTTGTTGACTAAATGGGTGTGCGCATGTGTGTAAGCACCTGCAGTGTATGTGCATACGTTTCAAGCTGTGCTCATCTGTATGTGAGGTGGGGCTACCTGTGTGGGTGAGAATGTCATGTAAAAACATAATGCAGGTGTATAAATAGTGCCTTTTTAATTATTGAGCACGTTAGTTGCATTTGTGTAAAGGTTCCATTTTCATCACTTTGTCTTCAATAGCAACCTGAGTATTGCTGCCATGTGCTAGAAGGACGTGGCACTGACAGGTTGAAGTCATGTCGATAAACTTGTCACTGAAGCTTTCAGCTTGTTTGATCCCAAGATAATTCACTCGCAACTTATATAGAATAATACTAATCATTTGCACAAGTTACTAATTGGGATTTATTGAAGAGCACCCCATTTGGGCTGCCTTTTGTTTCATTTCCGACAAATCAAATTGCTGAGGTACAGATTTGATTTTTGAAATGGCTTTTAAATTTGATTTTGAAAAAGTGGTTGTGTGTTTAAACAACTTAGAAAGAGCAGACAAGTAGGACTTATCACTCCTGGGATTCGTAAAGGAGTCATCGCTGTCTGACAGCTCTGTTGAAGAGGAGCTTGAGCTCTCGGCAGTGGTCCGTGCGGTGGAGACGTGTGTTACGAAGTCTCTGATTTTTCTGTGCACAGAAATGTGGCCGTAGACTGAAGGTTTCAGTTTCAGAGGTCAGCTTTGAAACCGTGTGCTCCCTGAAGTATCAAAAAAACTTTTAAGAATTCTGTACAAATCTTGAGCTGAAATGATTCAGAGTGTAAGGAAAAGACAGTTTTTATGTGCTTTTCTCACCATTCACGTATCCACCAGGTGTCTTGGTGAGGCTTTCCTTTATCAACCTGACCTTTCTTTAGGAGAAGAGAAAGGAATATTTTTACTTTGAGGAACAGAGGCCTAGAAAACAACTTGGAAATACACTATTTGCTGTAAAAGTTTCAGGGAAGACAATCACCCTTTGCAGGTATTCCTTGCCTGACAAGTGCAGAGCAGCACACTGCTTAGGTATGAACCGAGAAGAACTGGGAACTACTAAGTGTTGCTATAAAAGAAGGTGAAATATGCATTTGTCACAGTCTGAATGGAATTTACGTTACATACTCAGCTTGTTTTCGTACTGAATCCTCCCTTAGAAAGCGTTTCTCAGGCCATGACCAAAACCAGAAAAAAAGTAGTTGAAAGCGGTGTGCTCTTGCTGAAGCTAATGAGTTTAGTAAAGTTCTCTGCATTTCTCATTTCATTCCAAATATTGCAAGACGGTGCAGGTCACTAGGTTTATGTTACATTCTTGGAGGTACACAGAAATGCCATCAGCAAATGTATGATTTAATGACTCTGTAGGTGACTGGTTGTACCTCAGGCTGAGCTTTTTTTTGGTCATTTTCATAATAGTAGGTGAAAAAAAATTGCTGCAGGTGAAGAAACCTACAGAAGAAGTTGTATAATTATTCTGTGAGATTTTGTTGTATCCACCACATTTAAAGTAGGTGGGGAAAGAGAAACAGACCTTTTTAAGCAAACCGCGATATATGCCATATATTAAACCTTTAAAAATGTTAAAACTGATGCAGCTGAATCTGAGTTAGTAAGAAAAAAAAAAATCCAGTCACATAATTAATAGGAATTTGTTTCCCATTAGATATACCTTGTCTCTTCTAGTTAATGTGTGAGGTGTGACACATTGAGTTAGATTTTTTTTTTACATATTTACATCTCTGTGTTTACACATCTTGATGTGTAAAGGTTGGGAGAAATCAAACATAATGCATGCACGAAAATATTTCGACTTCCTTGCAGATCTGATTTGCTATAGCTAAGTGATACTGCCCCAACTATTTAGTGTCCTCCCTTAATTGCTAAGACTAAAGCATTAGGTGGTGGAATATGTTAAGAAAATAGCATTTAATGAAGATTTGACTGTTATCACCAGCATTAGAGCTCAGACTAATGCTAATGAAATCTCACAAATGTTACAGCATCCCTGTTGAGTCTTATCTCCATTGTGGTTCTGCATTTGAATGCTTAACATAGCCTCAGGCGGGTCAGCCTTTTTTAAGAAGAATTGCCTTCACACTAAGAGGCTTTCCTTGGAAGAACTGTTGCATTAAGATTATGCATTATTTTGACCTTGTTTGAGAGTGGATGTGGTGTGAATTTACTACTAGTCTCATCTAAACTGCTTTCTTTTGAAACCACTTTACTGCATGTTTAATGCCCTTTTTTTTCCTCTTCGTTTTCTTTTAGTGATACAAACGAGGTAGACATACCTCCAAATACCCGTGTAGGAACAAAACGCTATATGCCTCCCGAGGTGCTGGATGAAAGCTTGAATAGAAATCACTTTCAGTCGTACATCATGGCTGATATGTACAGTTTTGGACTCATCCTTTGGGAGATAGCAAGGAGATGTGTTTCAGGAGGTAAAGAGCTGGGAGATGGCTTTTAATTGGGTCAGTCAACTCAAATCTTCCATTACATCCTTTTCTCTGGGTAATCGTTTTTATTGTCATATAAACAAATGTGGATAAACCATACAGGTAACTCTCTTAAGATCTGTTCTCTTGTTGAAATTTATTTTAAAGCATCAGTCAGTGCTATTTCAGCAGCAAAGATTTAGACTGTATATTAGTGGCTCGTTTGAAGGCAGCAGATGCCTGCACTGAAGAAGGAATACAGAACTCGTTTGAGGGTGTTTTCCAATGGCAACACGCTTTTGCTGGACTGGAGGTATTCAGCTATTTTAGCAGAAAGGAAATAGCGATTTCTTTGTTTTGTTAGAGTTAAATAGAAGGAGGAGGACAATGAATTCGAGAATATGCTGTGCCCCTATTTAAAATAAATAATCTTTTGTTTACAAGACAAGTAGAAAAAAAACCAGTGCAAATTGGTAGTTATTACATCATTGGCATACCAGTGATGTGCTTCATTTCCTTCTGATATCAGGCATTCAAGTGTTGAGGACAGCAAAGGTGAAGCAATGCACCCAGCTGCAGACTTGGGACATAGATCCACCCTTGTACGCATAGGCTATGTGTGTTTTCTGCATGTAGAGCTCGGGGTAGGGAAGAAATGATGGGTGTTATTACCTCTGTTTTGCCACTGAGGAAAGTTAAATGCAGAGAAATGACTTGGCAGCGGTTATGTGCCAGATTGGTGGCAAGTAAGAGCAGAGCATGTCTCTCTCGGGTCTACGCTACCTTCATCAGGCTTTATGGGTCTTTAAAGCCTGCAGTATTGTGCTGAATGCTGGCTCCATGCTTACCTCAGAGGAGCTGAATTGCACTGATGAGCAACGTGACCCCTGTGTTTACAAAGCGGTAAAGCGTGTTGCAATGATGCGATGTAAAATCTGTAACATTGTCGTCATCGTTGCTGTGCACAGAGAGTGGTACCTTGCCATGTTCTGAAAAGGCACAGAAATGCCCTTTAATAGATACCAGTTCCACTGATAAGAATGAGACCTAATTCAACGTTAATTCTCCACCTCGTTAGTCTGATACATGCCCACTGCTAACAAACAGTTCTTTCGATAATAACTTACTGGAGATTGCTGGACTGGACAGCAGTGGTAGAAACTGTCTCACTTGGCAAGTAACTGCGCTTTTGGATTAAGATACCTGGTCAGTCTTTACACAGCAGTGATTATGTTGGAGCTTGACTGTGGAATAACTTCCCGGAGCAGTGAGGTCTTCCTAAGGAGCAGTGCATCAAATTGTTGATATGGTCAATCTGTTATCAAATGAGAGGGGAAGAGGGTAGTGGAAGGTGTCTTCTGTGAGTGATGGGCAACTAATTGCTTCTTTCAGGAATAGTTGAGGAATACCAGCTTCCGTACCATGACCTCGTGCCCAGCGACCCCTCGTATGAGGACATGCGGGAGATCGTGTGCATCAAGAGACTACGCCCTTCCTTTCCCAACAGATGGAGCAGTGATGAGGTACTGTCCCTCTTAAAATGTGAAACTTAAAAACCACTTAAACTGTGGTTTCAATCACAGTGAGTTAGTGAGGTTGACCCAATTCTGACTTATTTTAAGTGAGGAGGAGCTTTACCACTGGTGCTAGCACCAGTAATGGTGTAACAGGGCTCGGGAAGGAGCACAACATTCTCACATATCCCCATGGAAGTTGTTCAGACCCCCAGGGGCCATAGCCTACAGTATTTGCAAGCAGGTTCCTCGTGTGCTGTCTACAGATCCCACAGCTATAGCAGGCTGTGCTCTTGCACTCATTTTGCTTTCTGCTCCTGGCATTGATAGCATTAAATCAGTGGCTAGCCAAAAATTTTGAAAGAGAAATTATTTTGTAGTGTATAGTGCAGTGGCAGTGCATTTGGGGCACTGGCAGATACCTCAGTCTATACTGATGTGTGGGCTGTAATTCCAACCTTTTTCCTTTTTTTTTATTAAAGAAGGAAACATCTCCTGTCTCTTTGAAATGAGCATACAGCTTTTCTGCGATCACGGGTGTGCAGGCTTGGAAACATGATTTTACCTTGATTTTACACTAACATGAGCACAAGATACTAAGTTTTACTCTGGTGATATCGATATGCAATAGTACTGGCCACAGTAGCTGGGCTGCACCGAGGAGCGCCAACTGTTCACCCCTTTCCATCTTACGGAAAACAGGGCTCAGGTACCACTTCATGTTTTAGCAAAGAGGGCTACAGACGTGGTCTCTCAGAAGAGACGTAGGGTCCAGAAAATGCTTTCCGGAATGAAAGGAGGAGGTGAGAGGGCTGGGGGAGAATTTGAACTCTCTCTGCTGAGCATCTGTAATGAAGCGAAGTTGTGCTTGTGGGATCGGAGACGAACGGTTGAGGTGCTGCAGGCGAACCTGCTGACTGCTCTCGAGATGCTATGGAGGAGACATCATTAATCATGTTAATTGGTACAGTTTAATGTTGTGAAGTTTTCTACAGTTGCAGAAGACAGCTGCCGCTTGGGAATAGCAGTGTGTAGATGAATATTCTGCAGGTAGATGAAAGATTTAGGTGGTGAGAGATGTAAGCAATTTGGAGACGTGAGGGGAAAAACAAAACAACCTCCTGGGAGGCTCACGGACTTGTGCAACAGCCAGGGTGGGAAGATCTTACTGAGAATCGCCTGCCTCATCCTCTCCCAAACCAAATCCCTCTGAGCCTTCAGACCAGGAGTGAAATGCTGGAGGAAGCGCTGTTGGTATCGATCCCAGGAAGAGCTTTTGTGCGGTGGCACGCAGAGTGTGTTCAGTCCGCTGCTGCACATATTGAGGATCAGAGAGGCTCCTTGAAATAACTGTCCTTGATTAATTGGTTGTCGTCATCGGTAATCCCACTTCAGGAGTGGTAGCGATGATAGGCAAACTTGTTAGTGCGTAAGACCTTGTGTACCACCCAAACGTGTTTATAACAATCAGCATTGATCTGGAAGGCATTAGGCTGGTCTGGGCACAGCTGGTGGGTGCTGTGCTTGGTGCCTTTCAGGTCTACACTGCTTCTGGGCCGGGAGAACGGGGAGCAGGTCAGATGAGATGGAAAACTTCTCTTTTCCTATTGTAGCAAACAAATCTTAAGGCAACATAAATCTGTAGGCTGATTGGGTCATCATCCGACTGCGGTGGCTTCTGTGGTGCTTTATGTTTGGAAGAAGGTGGTAGGCGCAGGGCAGGGATGTATGCTCCTTTTCCAGGATGGCAAAGGCAATGCTGAGATGCTGTCAGCAAGAGGGTTATTGCTGGAAGCCAGAGGATGGTCTGGCTATGTTTCGGAAGCAAGCAGGAGTTGGAGAGGGACAGGGCAGAGCGAAGCTGGGTGCTCACAGGTGGCTTTCTGGCGGGGTGGATGGACAGGGGCTGTGGGTGGGTGCTCACGCTGGACTGTACCCCAGAGATGGTCACTGGCTGAGGAAAATGAATTCCACTGCATTGGTACAGCAACAGGCTCACAGTACAGAGCCTTGTGCAGGTCAGGCTGTGCGGGTTTGGAGAAGGGGAAATAAGTAAAGTGCTTTTGTGGAGCGTATGGCCAAGTCTAGACTATAACTTGTCATAAATTATAAGAGTAATTGCCATGTTTGGAGAACTCTCCGTAATATGCAGAAAAGAAAAGCTCTTGAAAAGTGGCACCAGCCAGCATGCTGTCTTTTGTTTGGCTGCCCTTAGAAAAGACGTTTTCCCTTTGGTTTTTTGGCATTGCCAGCAACTGCTGTCTCCCCTTCCACTGACCCAGGTGGGACTTTCTCTCTGGTTTCTTTCCGCAGTGCCTACGGCAGATGGGGAAGCTGATGATGGAGTGCTGGGCTCACAACCCTGCCTCCCGGCTCACAGCCCTGCGGGTCAAGAAAACACTTGCCAAAATGTCAGAGTCGCAGGACATTAAACTCTGACTTGGCCAGGGGCAGCTCTCGTGAAGGCCCATGGAAACGGACTTTCTCGTGCAGGCAGAAGTCCTGAAGAGGTATCAAAAGTCTTGCTAATAATACCTTGAAAGCAGTCATGCTTAAGAGCAGCTGTAAGTTTGACAGCTTTTGAGGAGACTATCCTTTGCAAAAATCAGCTGAATTTTGACATACAAGATTGGAAGAGGCTTGTCTGCCCTTGTTTACACGGGGAAATACAGTTTTAGTAACTGGTTTAAGATTATGCATGTTGCTTTCCGTGAAAGCCATTTATTATTTTATTATTATTATTGTTATTATTATTATTTTGATTGTTTAAAAAGATACTGCTTTAAATTTTATGAAAATAAAAGTTTTGGTTAGAAGTAAAAAAAGACGTATATTGTTACATTAAAAAAAAATTGGGAGGAAACTGTGCTGAAAATTAAAGCAAAGTGACTTTTTCATTTATAAAGAGACTATTGCACTCCAGTGTTTAAAAAAAAAAAAACAACAGGAGAAAGGGCCTGTGCAGCTCAGAAGAGCTGTAATGGAAACCATCTGGAAGCTGCCTACCTGCAGAGACAACTTTCTATAGTCCTGCGTGTGCGAGCGGCTCTCACAGTATAGAGAGGGAGCCCAGTTATGTCCTCGCCCTCGTTAGCAGGGGTGTCCGCGTTCCTGGGGTGGCCTGTCCCAGGGGAGGTCGTGCTGCCTTTGAGATAATCAGGAGCTGTATGAATATGGTTCGGTGTGACTTGTTTGAAGCAGCTCTTCATGTTTCCAGGAAATCTGATGGGTATGGTACCAGGATGCTCCTTTTCTCGGCTTTTTTTTTTTTTTTTCTTTCCTCCCACCGCAAAATAAAGTATTTTTTGTGTGAGCGGAGATGAAGTACACATTCATATCCGCCAGTGAATTTGAAACTGCTGTGACCTACATGCACAAGCACTGGGGAAGAGGAAGCTCCTGTGAGAAAAAACTAACTTGCTCTTTCATCTGTGTAAAAGGTGAGGTATCCATCCACAACCACAGTTGGAAAAAAAAAAATACTCTGTGTTCCTTTTAAGTGAAAAGCCTCAAACATTCCCATTTTCAGGGTGGCAGTTGTTTTCCTTTAAGCGTAAGGAGATCCAGTGCCTCCTGGCCGCGTTAGGAAGCTGACAGGGAAGGAGTAGTGTACTTGGGTGGACGGCGAGAGCTGGACACTGTGGCCAGCAGTGGGTAGGTGCCTCCAGCCCTTCTCCCCCTGTACTGAGAGTCACCACAAACCGAATAATTTGACTCAAGCTTCACTTGCCTTGCTCTTCGGAGTGACCTTCCAGCAGCCTCCCTGCCTCTGGGAGCCACGGCGCGGGAGCGACGGGCTCTGCCGCCGAGCTGGGGCTGCATAGCATCGTGGTTCCCAGCAAGAGGAGCTTTCAGGGAAGAAGAGCAACAGGAAATGTATTTACTGTCTTTCCCTGTTCCTCCTTCCTGGGGCTGCAGCCGTCACTGCCATGTTAATACTACAGAAGGGGAAACGAGAGGTGAAATATTCCCTGTGAAGTATTTTCTTCGGAAAGATCTCTGTTCTTTGTCAGATTATCAAAGCTGAGCTGTATGGGAGTTACTGGCTTACCCTTCTTTACCCTTCTTTTCTCTTTTTTCATTTTTTTTGCCTGCCTGTGTCCTGTTTCACTAGATGGTGTTCAGTTTAATTTTGAAAGAAGTCCTTACAAATGCTGCTTTGATTATGCTAAGCCTGTTTCAGAACTGAAGTAATTGCCATGCTGGATTTAGCCTCAGCATTTCTGTGCCGCTTCTTTTTTTCCTTTTTGGACAAAACGGATTTATTTGTGGTAGAAAGGTATATAATTGGGGCTTAGCTTCATGACTCCCTGAAGGTATTTCTAGTTGGAAAAATTACCATTTTATACTTTTGAACTAACAGAGAAAAATGCTTAGGTTCAGGAGAACCAGCATGACCTCCATGATTATAGGTGTTAAAAAGTTTAATCAGAGGATTTTTGTTAAGAGTGCTTTTTCCACAGTGCAGTTTCCCTGCCTGTACTCAAAAATCCTGAGCAATACAAAAAGAAAATCTCTGAGAGTTAATAGTACACTGAATCCTGGCCCCAAGAGGGGTGATGCTGGTTTCCCCCATCCTTGATAAACAGTGCGCTTGCGTGGCTGAGCGCGGAGTTTGTTCCTCTCCTTGGCTGCCTTGGCTTGAAGATTTGTGGCCCAAAATGAGGAGAACAGCCCAGCCTCTCGTCACCTTTTTGTGAATGGAACCACGGGGTTTCTACTCTCGCTCCTTTCACCTTCAGGCCCTTTCATAAAAACCAGTGCAGCTCCGAGGAATGTGGAGTTTCTTGGCTCTGACGGAGCAGATGAGTCCGTTGACTTTGGCAGCGGTTGGGGCAGGCTGGGTCGATCCCACCTCCGAGCCCCATCCCTGTGGGTCC